AGGTATCCCATGTGAGCGCCGGCTATCTATATGGAGGGTATGTGTTGTATATCTGCTAATAAATATTATATTAGTAATAATTTATCATGTTTAATAAATAACTATAATTATTAATTACAAATCTAACGCTTATTATTATTTAATAGATATGGAGGTTATGGTAGATATGGTGGTTATGGCGGATATGGAGGTTACGGTGGTTACGGCCGGTAATATAAGATAATGATAAATTTTGTTATAAATTATTAATTTGTGTACATTTAATAAAATTGTTAAACAGTGGATACGGGGGTTATGGTGGATTTTATGGATAAAAATTAAACATGGCACATCATGATCACTGATTTTGGACTTAATTAATAAATATTTATTTCTAATATTAGTTTTTAATTTATTATTATTTCAAAATTGATTATTTATTTTATGTCTATACCAAATAAATTATATTTATGATTTAAAATTTTTAAAAAATTAAATAAATAAATTATTTAAAGAATTTTGAACATACAAATGACTACAACTTGAACCATTAATTAATAAATTAATAATTACGAATAAATTAAATTTTAAAGTTTCTACTTTATCACTTGTGTGTTTTTTATACAATTACCGTAATTAACTGTTAGAATTTAATTAAATAATATATCTGTGCTTTACTTTCACATTACATTTACAATAATTTAATTAAAAACATATTATAACACTTAAGTTTTTACATATTGGGCACTAAAATCACAATTAACTAATTCATATCAATTTCAATCAAACCCGAGTCTACACATAACAGTACACAACTACTGACCAAATCAAGTAAGCATAATAATTATTAATTAATCATGGCCACTTTTATAAAGCCACTTGTACTTTCATTTTTCTAATTATGGTAATTCTTTAACAGTAAACACTTCATCAGTGGTTAACATTAATGTTTTAATACAATACGTGACCCCATAGACTGGTGTCAAACCCCCTGAACACAATGTCAAACATGATATGGCTGTTCACTACAACACTGGTCGTGAATTAATTAAATGTTACATTATTTTAGTTATTACACATTCGGCACTTAATTCACGATCACTTGAATTCATATCAATTGCAATCAGACCCTAGTCTACACATAACAGATCACAATTACTGACTAAAATAGGTGGACAACAGTGTCAGCGCATTCCGGTCGTTGTCTCTATGGCTGAACCCACTGCTGAGCCGTACGCACACTATCATCGACTCCGACGCTCAGCCCTACCCTATCTTAGCCTTAGAAAGGATGGGCTCTCACGCTATTTACCGATTGCCTAAACACAGGCAACCAGACCTATGCTGACCGCTCACTATGTTAACAGTAGGGAACTAAAAGGGTTGGGGAAATACTGTATGGTCACCGGCCGCCGCACCCGACATAGAGGTCGCGCCGGTGGCTATAAAGTGCTTTCACATCTCTGTCGCACACTTTCCGCCCGACAATTGTTTTTATTAATAATTTAAATATAAAATTTATTTAAATTTAAATTCAATATTTATACCATAAAACTTATTATAACTTCTAAGTTACAATTAAATAAAAATTCATTTTGTAATTAGTTAACAGTTACATTCTAAATACTATAACACTTAAATCCATAGGTGATTTATTTTATTTGTTATTATTTTTCAATTTAATTTGTTAATTGCTAAATGAGTG